TCTTCCGTCATTGACAGTGACATCGGTCACTTCGGAAGTCGTCCTCCCCTTCCGTCGTCTCGTTACGACCCACCGATCGTGTGTGTCCTCCGACCGGTCATCGGTAACAACGGCTTCTGCGGTGAAAGCAGACGAAGAGAAAGAGAGACAGAGAGGAAAAAAGCAGCGCGCGAAACCAGGTGCCAGCCAGGAAATCGTCGGATGGTTTCACCTCGGCGATGCGTGACACGCGCGAACAATGAGCGGCGTATCGAAAGGGGATGAAACTGACCGACAAGCGAGAGAAGGACGAAAGGAAAGCGGAGACAGAGAAAAAGAGATGCTTGATAAGGGAGAAAGAGTGAGAGAGGGATAAAATCCGAGTATTCCGAGGAGGAAGAGAGGGAAAGTCGTGGGAAGAGAAAGGGAAACGCAAACGAGCGACGAAGAAAGACGAGAGACGACGGGAAAAACGAGAGATGACGGAAAGGGAGGAAGCGACAGGGAGAGAGAAAACAGACGAGAGGGGATGATAGCGGAGTGGGGTGGCTGATAAGAGAGAGGCGAGTTCCTAGAGGAGGGAGAAAACGGAGGGATGAAGCGGAGGGCGCAGGCGCTACTCAACCCCTATCAACCCCTCCGATTCCAGCGGGCATGCGCTCTGGGACTCGTGTATTCGTAGTTTCCTTCCCGCAGTCCTTTCTCATCCCTTCGCGTTCTCAATCCCTTCCCTCGGCGATTTCGTTCACACCTACCGAAATTATTTTTATAGGCGTAACGCGACGTCTGCGTGGATTCGCGCGTGCATGCTGCAATTTGTGCCGCGACGTTTCGTTCTCAGGATCCGCGCTGCTTTTTTCGACACGATCAATTTGACGAACATTGGTCCTCTCAAAGTTTCTAAAATTTTAACATCGACTTTTTCAATACTTTATTCGAAAGCATTTTCTACCGTTTTTTTAAAATACATTGCGGCAACTTTGTACCTCATTTTACCAGCGTAACGTTTTTATAAAAATCCGGCATTTATTATACGTATATAAATACATAATTCTTTCATATAGAATAGCACACATGTATTCAAAGATTTTTACAAAGATCCTAGTTGCGTGTGAGAGAAAAATAGTCTTTTTTTGTAAGAAGAAAGAGTGAATTCGCCAACTCTCTTCAGTCTAATCTCCATTTGAATGCGAAAAGATCAAGAGGCGCGAAAGGGTAGTTATTCAATGGAGTCGCCATATGAACGGATTCCGGTTCTCTCTCGAGAGATCTCGTTATCACGGCGCCTATCCCGATCGCCTTCCCGACATTCCTCGGGATCGCGCATTAGTGAGGCGTGTACGCCGTGCTGCGATCGGTCGGCAGTATATTGATTTAATAGCCGATTGATAAAGGTGGCCGCACGTACAAGAGACCGATAGCCGTACGAAGCTACATGTTACCCGACCTTATCTGGAATACCATATAATTATGCCTAGCGACACCTCTCGCGCGACTCTGCTGGATCTTCATCTTGGATTGCTACCGTCGATCTTTGTTCATCAACATTCCGCGCGTATGTCTGCAAGTGCAGATCTCGACATTTGTACAGGCTATTTCAGGCAGAATAGTCAATATTTAAGAACAAAAGATGATTTTTTTCCATTATTTTTCCATTATTATTATATTTTTTAATATTTTTTACAATCCTTTTATATATTTTTTAAAATAATTGTAAATTAAAATTGTTATGAATTAATTTAATTTATTTAAATTACATATTTTATATATCTTTTAAATTACTTGGAATTTTTTCTCATAGGGAAAACTGCGTAACTCTGTGTAACGATGAGAGACGAATGAAAGATAACGTGTACGCGCGACAAGATAACGCCGGCCTTAATTATGGGTTATGCACGCGCGTAGAACCTCTCGTTCGCCTGTCGAGCGTGTCGCTCGAGCCTCGCAAATTGTCGTTACTTCTGTTAATTAGTTATTGACGAACATTTCGCCGCTCCCTTAATGCCTGCTTCTCTCGAGGGATCCGGAGCGTAACGAACGCGTAGACGCAGTCGTTCTTGCTCGTGCATATATGTTTAGATGACGCGACGAGGAAATGGAAATGTGAGAATAATATGCCAAACCGCAAAACGCTCTATCTAAGTATCGGTTAAATAAGCGTTTTCCCCCAGTGCGGTCTTGCAAATTTACTCATTTTTCCTTATTCATTCCTCGTTCACAAACAACTTGAACGATTGAGAAAATAGTTCAAAACATATGCGTGATTATTTTTTCTATATTCATCGTAATAAATAAAGTAATTAAAATAGGACTTTTACTTCATACTAACTTGTTCAATTTATTGGAGTCTCTCTCAAATTGGCTTTAAAATAGTTTTATTAGATAAATTTAATACACAGATATCTATATAGAATTTAATTTTTTATAAATAATCACACAATCATATTCCAATTATTCTCAAAATATTTTGCAAAGTTATTTTGACATTTCTACGCCTCATTCAGCGTATGTCTTAAAATCTCCGCTCGTCGAAGGATACACGAGAGGAAATATTTTATCCCTTTTGACTTTGTGAAGTTTCTTCCATACTGCAATAACAGCCTCCTCTCAAGGTAGTCGTCTCGTTGACATTCCACGGGCGTATTAGCGAGGCGTGAACAGATCCTGACACCAGCGCATTGATTTAATAGCCGATGCCCACACTAGGATCTTCGGCGCGTTTCTCGTCGTCTTCTATATACGAGCGGACGTAGGTACGTACATACCTACGTACGTGCATACGCGGCACGCGTGTGCGGAGGAAACAATTGAACGCCATCCTTCCCTCTCCCCGTTTTTCACTCTAGACCTCTTTCTCTCCCTCTGGCCGCCGCGCTCTTTCTGTCTCATTCTCTTTTTGCTTGCATCTCTCTCTCTCTTTCTCTCTCTTTCTCTTGCTTGTTTCTCCTTCTCTCGCGCTCTGAAGCTTAATAAGCACCGCTACCTACATTCCATTTCCGGTGACGCTGACGTCACTCAACAATCCGGCTACGGAGAGCGAGCGCAAGCCGCGTACGCGAGACTTCATCTATCGTTTACGTATCTCCGCAACGAATCTCCGTTTCTTTCTTTTGCCGCGACTTCCTGGCTTTTCATCGTGACTTTTGGTTTTAAGGGATAATGCAACTTCACGGTAAAATCGACAAAATACAATAATCTTGGACAAATTTGAGCGGCAATAAAGATTTTTACCTTTTTTTTTCAAGCATTCATATATTATTTCTAAAATAAATGCGAAAAAGAAAAAAACGATTGGATTCATAAGCAAACAGTAAGAACCTGTAAACAAGTCTAAGCTCAGAATCTCATACTGCATAATGCTTCGTTGTTTTCGAATCTCTCGCAAACCCAACAACACTTGGCATGATTGAAAATACGTCGACGCATATCGACCTCATCGTCTAACGCTCGTTCTTGGTCCCACTCAACACCATCAAGTCGCGCGAACTCGTCGATGTTAAGTACCGGATCCACTTCGTGGGAGATTCCTCGGAGATACCTCGTCCTTACGGCAACTTTATTCGCTTCTCGTCATTTTTTTCGTCGATATTTTCTGGCCGTTCTTTTTTCTCGCGAAATTGCGTTAATGGGATAAAGAGCGTAGGGGATAGAGATAGGAGCATAGAGAAACGGAAAGAGGAGAGGAAAAAGAAAGAAACAAGGAGAGAGATCGAAGTGACGGAGACAAACGTGGAGATCGGACGTGGCGTAAGAAAGAAAAGAGAGAACCGATCTCTCATGCGCGTGTCCGACAGCAACACAACCAGGTAGGCCTTGAACAACTCGGGGGACCCACGCGCGTACGGCACTCTAGGAGTGTTGGCTCGTATATAGAGGCATTCTCGGCTGGCGCTGCCGGGTAAAAGACAGATAAATAACTCAGGTATGGCATTGGCTAAGTAAACGAGCCTACGCATGCGCTCGTGAAACGTACACCTGTACG